ACTACAGTGAAATCTCCGGTTTCTATAGTAATCTAGAGTGTATTAGTATAATTGAGATATCTTCTCTCCTCATCACACATAAAACATTTGAATGATCTCCTCAAACAGTTTGAACCAGCTACGTGCATTTGTGTGATTGCCGCATCTGTATCCAGCAATTATTCCGGTTTGAGACACTTTACACCTAGGACATAGACTATCCTAGAAATCAGTTGATGTTCTAATTCTAATTAGGAAAATGCTTTGGGATGAGGGGCCATGTTTCTACATGCTCAAACATACAGACACAAACACACCTTTTAAAAATCATATTTCAATATTATATATTTTTGTTCTAATAAACTCACATGTAGTGTTTTTGTGACATAATTTTTAAAGATTTATTTTGTTTTTAATCATTTTAGATAATTAATTAATGTGGGTTTTCTTTTTGTTGTTGTTGGTTTGTTTTTGTTTTGTCTTTTTTTTTGTGACAGGGTTTCTCTGTATAGCTCTGGTGGTCTTAGAACTCAATTTGTAGATCAGGCTGGCCTTGAACTCAGAGATCTGCCTTCTTCTGTCTCCTGAGTACTGAGACTAAAAGGCATGTGCCACCACACTTGGCTGACAAACCTTTTAATCCACTGATACTTCCTTTGCACAAATGCCCCCACAACCTGCCCTTTCATAGCTCTGGATGCTGAATGTTAAAAGCAAGGAACAACTGAGGCAACGGCTTCATGGACAAAGTGCTTATTGTCTACAAAGACCCAAGCACTGAGGTAAAAACCTGAGACGGTGGTTGCTTATAATCCCAGCTTTGGGGAGGCAGAAGCAGGTGGATCCCTAGGGCCCTCGGGCAAGCAGGCCAGCCTAGCCAAATCATAGTGACTCTGACTATAAAAACAAGATATATGATGTCTCCAAAGGAAGGACAATTGAAGCTGACCTGTAGATACACACATGCACATGCATGCACACATATATGCACACACACCTGTACCCCTAACACACAAACACATAAACAACAATGAATAAAAAAGACCAAATTTTGCCTTATTGGCCAGCCTCTCCCAGAGATTACTTGCTTCAGGCACAAAGTAGAGAAACTGGACCATTTGTGACACAAGTTTTATGTTAAAGGAGAACACACAGAGTCTCTTTTTCTTGGCAGTTCAGTTAGCATGAAGCAATTTCTAACTTTACAGACTAAACATTTCTAATTGGTAAACGGATGGTTTGATTTGAAATGGTGGCTCAGGAAATAAACTTCCCTATTTGGGGTAATTGTTTATGAGTCGTTGGCAGATTACCGTTAACCAGCCTTCATTTTGTCTTTGAGGGAAACATTAAAGTGAGTGTGCATATTTCACACTTCATTGAAGGGAAGCACATCCTGACAAAGAGAAGCCAAAGGGTGGGGAGAGAGTCTCTCTGCTGGTTTGTTACAACCAACTAGACTCAAGGTTTTCTTTGTCTGGTAGGTGAAGGAAACACTAACCACATAGTACATGTCTTCAGCTGTAAAATGGGGACAGTCAGAGCCCCTGCTTCCCAGTCAAGTTACTGTGAAGATGAAGTCATTGGTGTACAGGCCTAGTGTCATGTGTAGTGTATTGTGGCTGAGAGGAAATGGTCACTGTATTGCTCATCATCAGCCAGTTTACCATCCTGTCCTCCATAGCAGAGTTTCCTTTATGAGAGTCAGCTGCAGAGCCCACAGCTTCATAATGGAAAACTGTGAGAAATGTCATTAATTTGCATCTATTCATAAGTCATAGCTTAGCTACTTAATTGTGCATCAAATATTGGAATTATTTAATGACTATCCTTTTCAAAGATTCTATAGTCTACCCGGTGTTTTAATTATCCTGCAAATTCGTAATGTTTTAATTCACCCTTAAATACTTCCCCTAGATTTCTCTTTTGTGGAGTCATAGATAAAGTGTTACAAGGTATTTAAAATATTTGTCCTTGTTGACAATCTTGATTTTGAAGAATTTAATATTTCTTCATTTGATCTGTACTGAATCTGAAGATTCTATCATATCTTAGTCTTTAGGTTTCTTTTTCTGTTATTGTTTTTTATTGTTGCTATCTTATCTATCTATCTATCTATCTATCTATCTATCCATCCATCTATCTGTACAATTATTAGCCTTAAGACTCAAGTCTGTAATTTCAACTACTTGGGAGGCTAAGGCAGGTAGATTGCAAATTCAAGGCCCTCATGGGCTTCAAAGTTAGGTCAAGACTGTCTAGGCAAATTAGCAAGCGCCTGTCACAAACATTTGAAAAGTAAAAGCCATACTTGGGAGTGTAGCTTAGGGACAGAGCCCTTACCTAGCATGTGTGAGACCCCAGCTACAACCTCTGGAAAAGTAAAACAAAAAAGACAAACACGCAACAACATTATGAGATTTTTCAAACCACAAACTTTTTGTGATATGAAAAATTAGTATCTCTTCAGATTCCAATTCTCTCCCAGAAAACAACTGCTTTGCTCAGACAATGTGATCCATTGTTGCTAGTTTTCCACAGCCTAAACAATGCTTATTTTACTTGTAATTTGTAAATAGGTCAGATATTTCTAGTTCCGTGTCCATTGCTACGGTGTATTGATGGCAGTGTGGTAATGAAGTCTTTTGTGTTGAGGTCTAGCAAGTGAGGGAGTGTGTGTATTTCCCTAGTGCATATCATTACAGCTCTGAAAAAAGGCATGCCTGGTGCAGTCTCTCCATAGCAGGTGTTGATAAATGCTCAGTGATGGTTTAGCTTGGATACATAATAGAATCTTCAATCTTACAGTGTCCAAGCTGAACTCAGCGATAGGCTGACTAGTTCCCCTAGGGCCAAATCCCAAGTCTTTTGATTTGATTATTCCAGCATTCAGTGGCCAGGTTGTACTGATTCTGTTAGAAATCAGGTGCTCCACCAGCCTGTTCTTCAGGAACTCAGTGCTGTCAGACAACAGACACATCATCTCCCACTGAGGCCAGGGGTGGTATATTCCCACTGTCCCTAGTCTGATATCACAGTTGGTCCTTCATGATAGCAAGCCCTCTCTTGTTGTCTCTGTCTATCTGTTTCGTGTCACCACTCAGAGATACCCTCCACCAACCCCCATCCCCTAACAAATCTCATCCATGAGATCTGTTTCATGGAGTGATCTCTTAGGGACATACCTTGGCCACAACCTGCCAAGGTACTTCTGCCACTAAATCCTAACACTATCTGCTAAACCATTTTCAGAGTCACTGGAGTCCCTGGCCCCCAATGTCGCTGTCTAGTTCACTCTTGGTGGTCTCTCTGCCCTCTTGACAGATGTGGACAGTGTCACCTTTCCTACACACTTTAGTAATGTATAAAGTTGCTCTGAGGTGTGCTTGAGAGGAAGGTTTTTATTGTAGATATGAGGGAAAGTACAGCCAGATGCATCTGGAAGAGTTCAGAGCAGGGAGGGAAGGTAATAGACTAAACATGGCCAGCTGATTGGACTACACGGTGAGAGGAGAGAGGTGAGAGAGAGCTAGAGAGGAAGAGATGGCAATGTGTGCAGACAAAGGAGACCAAGAGAGGGGGCAAGAGAGAAAGAGAACGCGTGGCCAAGATGTCAGGGTCATATGGGAATGAGAAGTTGGGGGAAGGGAAGTCCATGAGCTGGAGAAGTTTGAGGTAGGGCATGGGATGAGAAGAGCCAGGATACCAGTACGGATTCCGTGACAGGGATTCTCGATGCTGAGAGAGCCTGAAGGACATTGCATTTTGGTATGCTACTAGGTACCACAGTTAGCTCCTGTGTCCTGACTTTCTTGTGAACATGAGTAGCTCCTGGTTGTACTTGGTCAAAACCTTGTACTTCACTGTAGCTTACAAAAGGACTGTGATATGTCCACAGATGCTCTAGCTGTTGTCTTTCTCCTACAAGAGTTAGTTGAGCTTTCTGAATACTCCCAGCACTCCTTCACCTCTGGACACCTTGCTTGGAACTTCTTTCTTCTCTCTCTGCCCACGGCCAACCTCTCTTTCCACCTCCTGCCAACTTCACCATTTTCTATACTTTCTAATATGCTGCTATCAGAGTCTTGTGTTTCAGTTTCTCCAACACTGATGCCCAAACAGCTTTACACTTTCCCCAGGTATCTGTGGTTCTGAAACCACTATAAGAGAGTTGATTTGGTTTTTATTCAAAAGATGGAAAAACTGAAGCATTCTGTGAAGAAACATGTGTCATGTCATTAAGTGTCTCAATGGGCAGGAAAGGGGTACTACTTGTGTGTTTTTGGATATCTGTATTTCTGTCATGCCTAGGGTTGAGTGGCACTCCATGCACGTGAAATAAATTGCTTTATGAATCTCAGCCTGAGCCTGAGGTGCCTTTCTCTATACTCAAAGGAGCTTCTGTTCCATTGTGCGTTCTTGGGGACAAATGAGGCCAGATTCCTCTGTGAGCGCTCTTCTTCCAGAAGGAAATATGCCTCCCAGGAGAATCTGTATTGCTCTGGCAGATTTCTTTAATGTCAGCTGGCATGGATCAGAAGAACCTTTGTCATGGTGGCAGTTAATGGTGGGCTGCACATTTTAGACACTTACAAAATGGCGGGCCCCCTGCATAGCACGAGAAATGCCCCTCTCTTTCCTGGCATGAGAAATCTGGTGACCCAGCTGTTTCAGTTGTTGTTGTTGGTGGTGGTGGTGGTGGTATGTACTTGTGTGTGTGTATGTATGTGTTTGTGTGCATGTATGTGTGTGTGTTTGTGCGTGCATGTATGTTTGTATGTGTATGTGTGTTGTGTGTGTATGTATGTTTGTGTGTGTATGTTTGTGTATGTGTGTGTATGTGTGTGTATGTGTGTGTGAGTGTGTATGAATGTGTGTGTTTGTGTGTGTGTATGTGTGTTGTATGTGTGTGTGAGTGTGTGTGTGTGTGTGTGAGCCCTAGCAGCAACTCTCGAGTCCTGCTGATCCACTGGAAACAACTCTATTGATTTTAATGCTACTTTATTGGTTTCCTTCTGCAGATTGTTCTTCAAAGAAAATGTCTATTTCTTCAAGTTCATGCCTGGGCCTCATCTGCTCACTGCTGTGCCACTGGATGAGGGCAGCATCCTCACTGAACCTGGAAGACCCCAATGTATGCAGCCACTGGGAAAGGTAACTGTCCTGAAAGCAGCCAGCTCAGTCTTTTCTATTGTTAGCACAGATCTGATGCACAGGAACAGGATTTGATAAGACATTTTGAAATAACTTTTCCTGTGAAAAATCAGTTTAATAAATTGAGTCATGTTACAGACGGTGGAATGAATATTTTGTGGAAGAAAGTTCTGGTTCTAACATGGGTACAGTTGTAAGAAGGTGGGATAGTAACTCAACTAGAGTTTGGGTGGAAGGCTGTAAGTGCTTTCCCAAATGTGGTGATTTCAGGAGCTGGACCTGTGCTTGGGAATGCTGAGTAAGCAGCAGGAAGCAGCATTGGGTAACCTACTGTACTAAAACATTGAACTACATTGGATTAAAACAGTCTTGCCACAGGTAGCTTGGGAAGGAAAGTCTGTGCCTGGTGTGCCACAGTTCTGCAATCCCAGCTACTCAGGGGTGAGGAAGAGGGGTCATGAACTCAGGCAAGGTCTTCCATCACTACAGATCCAGTTTGAAGTCAGACTTGGAAACTTAACAAGACCTTGTCTCAAAAAGAGTTGGCTTCATGTGGGCCAGGACAGCAATTTAAGGAGCACTAGCTTTGAACTGAATCCAAAAAGCATTAAAAAATAAAATCAGGCCTGATTTTTGAATGAACACTGAAGGCCGTGTGTAGGTGGTATCTCCTGAGGTGCTCTGGAAAGCGTGAGTGGATAGTTCTCTGTGTGTGTGTGTTTGTGGTGGGAGCTGGGATAGCTTTTCCAGATGGAAGATAGCTTGAAGTCAGTGTCTTGGAGATTACCCAGAACTGGACTCAGAACAGTCACTGGGACATTGAAGAAGCTAGCCATCAGGTAGATTATGTGAAGGCAGATGATAGAATATCCATTAGTCAGCAATTCACAGTAGGAAATATGCAAAACACACAAAAAGCATCATTAGGGATCCTCTGGTTCCCTCTGAAGCACAGAAAAGCAGCCCGAGCATGCCCTGTGCTGGCACAGTATTAGCAGGCACAGACTGGACTGTTCTGACTTGCTGTTCATGGGCCCCAGGAAGGGTCTTTATCCCCAAATAGCAGTTCATGCAAAGGTTCAACTGAGAGAATGGTGTTTGGTACCCAGACTGCGATGTGCATTTGTACTGGCTGTAGCAGGGTTGATCCAGTTCTTGGTGGTGATGTTGGGCCATCTTCCGCACCATGATTAACAAACAGCAGAGTGCACACTCTACTAGTTTACAGTCTTTTGATAGAGGTACGAAGCTGGGACCAGAAACAGTAAGATGCTAGGGCCACGCAGGTATCTTCCTCCTATATTACGTGGAACCAGAGCTTGCTGCCATCTCTGTAGGCAGCAGAGAACCAGGTTAACAAAAACATGATTATGCTATCAATTAAGGAAGCTATGTATCATGAAACTTTATGCTGTAGAAAAAAATAGGTAATCGAAAGTTGTATAAATTTATGATGGTAGCAGAGTCATATAGAAAAGGCACTTACTAATTTCCTTTAATTGTCTTTATAGCACCTTCCCCAAGACATTTCAGTATGGAAAGGTGCAATAAGTATTTGTTAAAATAATACGGATAAGTCTGGAATGCAGGAACGTGAGTGCGTGTGTGTGTGTGTGTGTGTGTGTGTGTGTGTGTACACCAAATCAACTGGCAGTTAAACTTCTTAGAGGTTGATGGCTTTAGGTGGGAGGAACAGTTACACTTGGGAGATGCTGGGAGGTACCAATCAATGGATCTTGAAAATGTGTTGGCTGTAATGTGAAGCTGATCCACCAGAACTTAGAGCTTGCAATGTGCGCCATTGCCGATGTGGACAAACAGCCGAAGGGAGCTCCTGGGTTAGTGTGGTTTGACGGTGTTGGGCTTAGGAAATCCGGCAGAAACTCATGCCTGGGAGGACTGGGAATTTAGCACTTGGATGTTCAGCATGATGAAATAAGAAGTTGCTAAGTGGATAGCCAAAAGGAATGTGGGCTAGTTCAGCCATCAGCCATTTGATTTGATTTGATTCCACACCCACACTTGAGGAAAGCTGTCAACACACCACTGCCTTGTCTTGTTTATTCGTCAGGGATAATTCTCACTGTCTGGGACCCTGCATGTGCCATGGATTTAGTAGATGATCACTGAAGCGTGGACCACCTTCTGATAATGAATCAGATGGTCCAATATGTATATGGGCATGCACAGCAAGAGAGACAGGCCACTATAATCTCTACCTTGCTGTAGAATCTGGTCTAGAAATAATCACCAAGAGGGAAAGACAATGGGAGTTGCAGGGACATGGTTTTCCTATATGAAACTAGAAAGAGGGTTGGTAGCTACAACATCCTTGTTGATAAATAGGTTCTTTTGTTTTTTCATCACCATTTCATTTGTTGTTTTTATTTGCAGGAGGAGTTGAAACAAAAATTTAAGGGTTGTTTTTCTCCCCTAAACATGAATCATTCAAGCTAATGATTCCTAGAAAGGGTAGCTTTTAAAAGTGTTTTGATAAGAATAAAAAGGTGTAGCAAGATAAAAATTATCAAAAGAAGGGTCTTTGAGTTGGTTTAGTGGGTAAAGACCCTTGCTGCCAAGTCTGAAGACCCAGATTCAATCCCTAGAATCCACATGGCAAAGGGTAAAACTGATTCCTACAATCTCTCTCCCCCTCTCCC